GTTTCCCCCCCCCCCCCCCCCACGGGATATGGTGCCGTTTGACAGGACGATCGTGTCCGGGCTTGTGGCGTATGTTCCGGAAGACGAGATGCGAGGGAGGATGGTGGTGGGGCTTTGCAACCTCCCCTCCCGGGCCATGCGCGGCGTGACGTCATCCGGGATGCTACTGTGCGCCAGCAACGACGATCACTCGAGGTGGGCCGGACTGCCCCGTGTACCGCATGGCACGTTGCTGTTGTGTGTTGATGCTGTCGTTGTCTCTTCACGTTCGAAACCCGTGTTTTACTGACTTCCGCCTTCCACAGCATCCTTACCAGTGCTCAAGGTAAGAGGGGCGAAGTTCGGTGGTCACAGCAATTAGGTTGACCCCACGGTGTATGTGGTACGAGGTCTCCCTTCCGAAAATGGCGGGGCCTCCAAGCCTCTGAACACGTTTGCTCTTGGTGTAGTTCAGCAACACCGGTGTTGCTGGTTCTGTAGGAGGAAAGACGTGGCTGCAAGCTGCTTCCTTCTTGTCGGCACGTTACTATTATGCTTGTGGGGGGGAGTGCCGTATCTCATGCGGTTTGCTCACGGTAGCGTGTACTGTCATTCTTCGGTTGCACCACGCAGCAGTAGGATGATCGATGGTGCGCCCACCTTTTGTGTTTCCCCTCGCTCAACTTCCTTCGTGTCTTCTTCGCTGGGACAGATTTGAAGAGCTCGATTTTCTCCATGACCAATGCTGGACAGCAGCGCCGAACGATTCGCCGTCGGAATGTATCTCTAGCCGGTAGATTGTACTCCATGCATATTAGAGCGAGTTTTCCGAGGTTTTCTTGTTTTCTCGAGATAATCGAGGATGCAATCGGACGCCGGGTGAGGGTAAGCTTCTACGCAAACGTCGCAATATCGTTTCTCCACCGTAAACTGAGCGCCAACTCGTTTGATTGTCCTGCGCTTCATTCCAACCGAGCTTGTCGACATCTATGGTTCCCCTGGTGATCCCCCCGCATCCCCCCCACCTCGTCCTACAGCGTGGACCCCCTGTCGCCCCCAGAGGGAGCCAAGATCGGGGAGCTCATCACCTTCGAAGGCGTTCTTTCTGCCCCCGCGCCTCCGAGCAGCGGCGCCTCTAGGGCTTGGTCCGCGACGAGGGAGGGTATGAAGACTGCGGAGGCGACGGCGGACGGTGTTGGTGTCGCGGGCTGGGACGGTCGCCCCATGCTAACGTCGGCAGGGGCTTGCACGTCCTCTATTGCCGCGGGGCGCGTGCGATGATGATAGTGATACTGCTGGCGTGCGTGATAGTTCTGTTTTGGGGCTCGCCGTTTTTTTTTGTTTTAAGTTTGCTTTTTTTTTGTTCACCGCTGGAAGGAAAAACGGCGGAACTCGTTTTTTGTTGCGCTTCTGTTGTCATGGCCGATTTGCTCTTGCAGGTGGGGTAATTTGAGCTTTGAAGTATGAATGGGACTACGCTTTGCATCAAGCACCGTGGAGGATTGACTCTTCGCGTTGCTTCTCTTCTTGCCCCATGACAAGCGAAGCACTCACCACGTGTACTTATCTCAGCCATGCAGATGAAACGTGTGTGTGTACGTGTTCGTCCCGTCTGCACACCTGTAGGCCTGTCGGTGTACTTTTTCTTCTTCTGGCGTATTAGCCGGGGTCGCACGCCATCATTGTTGTTGTCTTCACATTCAAAAACCGTTCCCCAGTCTCTGCTCAGTCATGGACAACAACAACAGAAGATGCGACCGTCAAATGGCCCAAGTAGTGCACCATCTGTAGGGTAGCGACGTCGAAGCCACCCTTCCGGGGTTCGTTTCAGAGGATGAGAACAAGGGGGGTCTGACAACCAATAACAAACGGGACCCGGCAGCGGCGAGAATAGAGAGCCCCGCTGCCCCAAGACAGGTACGCATGACGGTTTCACCGACGAAAACAGGCACAGGAATCCGACGATGGCAAACTGACCGAACGGGGGCCCGGCCTGAGTGCGACGAGCCTCCTGTAGCGCCCCTGGCTGCAGCCAGTTGAAATGTGCAAAAAATCGGGTTAGGGTTGGGTTACGCCCCCCCCCCCCCTCTATATTTCACATGGAACGCTTAACATCCTCGCGGAGGCGGTCGAAAAACTGCTGTCTGCTCGAGGTGGATTCATGATGGACATGGAAGGGAGAAAACCGCCCGATCGCCTCTCGCTGCCGTGGGGGCGGGCTGCCCCCCGGTGTTTACCATGGGGGTTGGGTTTTCGTCGCTTGGCAACGACGTTGTAAAACGAGCCCCCCATCGGTGTTTGCCATCGGGATTGGGTATTCGTCGCTTGGCAACGACGTTGTAAAACGAGCCCCCCATCGGTGTTTGCCATCGGGATTGGGTATTCGTCGCTTGGCAACGACGTTGTTCAACAAGCCAATTCGCTTCGTGAGCTCGGCAACCAGGTTACCGTTTTTTTTTTTTCTCTGTTTTTTTTTTGGCGGTGACCATAATGGTGGTCGAGTAGATCATGTTGTGCGGGGTCGAGAACCCTCACTCCGCGCAAGGGGGATGATCGCACCACGTTGTGTTAAAATGGTCAAGCACCCTCGAGGCAGTTACACAGTGCTTATAATTGTCTGGAAGTGAAAGCACCAGAAAATAAGTCAACCGCAGCTGTCATCCGTACGCAAGGAAGTAAGCACAAGATGCCG